CACCCACAAAAACAAAAAAACATGGCCTACTACTTGGGATAATCTTTCCTATTTTTCCAACATTTCTTGAGAATGGCCGAAAAACAAAACCAGACAGATCTAAGGCATAGAAGCAGCAGCAAGAAATCAATGAACAGCCGGGTTTTGAGTATCAACAGCAAGAATTTATTTCAGGTAGCTTTTTAGTTATCTAAGGCATTCTGTGTTGTCCAATATACCCCCTATTTAGTGAACTGTTTCCTTTGCTGGTACACTCATGTAGTTTAACACTGAAGTGTCTGCAGTAGGCTAAAACCAGCCCTGTTGCACAGGAAAGATCAAAAACATTTTTTCACTCATTCCATTAATTTGACATTTCCATTATTTTCATTAATTTCACCTTCCTACTATCTGCAAATACAATGAAACAGAGTTTCTGTGGCTTTAGGGTGCTGCTCAGGAGTAGAAAATTTTCATCACTTTGTCTACAACATCGTCATCTGATGGTGGTTTCCTCTGGCTGCCAGGCTGCAGGAATTTCTTTATTGTGGGGATGTTGCTTAGTCTTGCTTTGAAACTCTAAAAAACAAAACCAAAACAGCACAGTGCTTAAGAATCATTCCAACTGTCAGACATTTCAATGTTGTCCATGTTCTGAAAGACACATCACAGCTTGATGCTGCAGAAGAAACTATACACTTCCCCTCTTATGCTTTTGGGGTTGTAGTGACAGAATGTGGCAATAACAATGAGGATGTGGGGCTAGCTAAAAGTTTTTAGGATATTTTATTTTTTGCATGTAACTTCTGACCCTCTCACTCCCACGTATTTCCCAGCCACTTATAATCAGTGCTCTTTACAATTCATTCTCCATTCAAACTGCCCATTCATTTACCTGCAAGAGAGGAAATTTGGCAAAGATATCAGGCTTCCACTCCTCCACCATCAAAATGATTTCAAGTAATTGAACATCTGCCCTGGTCAGCTGGTTGCCAACCAGAAAGTCTTTTCCATGGTCTTTCAAAACCTAAAAACAGAGAAACAGAAGCAGATCATGTCTCTTCTCTCTCTTTTATCAGTTGTTTTCTCATAAATAAGGTGATATCTTCAAAGCAGGGTCACAGATTGCACAGAGTTGTCAGTGAAAGAAGGAAATGCAGTTCAAACACCTGCAGTACAAACAATGATCTG